CCCCTATTCTCTTCTCTGGTCTCTGGGTCAAGGAAAGCTGTGTTCTGCCCCCTGAAGGAGGGCGACTGCCTGCCACTTTGGGTCACCTTAGAAGAATGGCCTTATTATCCCCGCAGTCATCACTATCTACCCCGACACATCTACAGGTGTACCCTTTCTTTCTGTGCCTCTCGCAGGTTTCTTTTCCCCTCCGCTGTTGGCCTCCTATGGATACAGGAGCCTGCCTGTTATTCACCATGTGGTGTATTGTTACCCTCTTTGATTTGCTGCTGTTTGAACCAGATGCTGTCTGTCTTGTAGCATTTAATCCCTTGAAAGGTTGAAAGATGCAATTTATGTGAATGATGGCTCTTTATAAGAAGGCGAAGTCATATTGTACTTCATGCTTATCTTGAGCAGATTTCCCCGTCTCCACTCCCACCCTAACTAAGAGATTAATGAATTGAGAAGTACATTTTGGTGGCTTTAAACTGACTGTCTCCTGGGAAATGCCAGCACATTCCAGTGATCACCAGGAGTCTGGAGGGTTCAGTTGCCGGCCTCTCCTTTCTGCACTGAGACACCTCAACTCTATCCTGCATCATAAATCTAGAGGAGCGTGAGGCCTCTGTCTAGAGAAATGTCAGTCTTCCTCTTGGCATTTTAAATGTCTGGAAAGGAACAGTCTGGAGAGGTTCCTTTTAAAATAAATTTCTGTATATTAAATCTTCTGTATATTTTGAATCATTTCCCCCCATTAACTTTTATTAAAAATTTTAAATATATTGGGATGGACATAATAAATAAAATCACCCTTCCAATTATTCAATTAACATTTTTAAAGCTTACAAGGAAAATAAAACAAGAACAAAAATACAACCCAAGCAGGTGAATGAGTCAGAGATGTCCAACTTTCAGCTTGCTCACCATAGAAGTTGGAACCCTCAGATCAGCTGGAGACAAATGTCTTTATTGACTTTTAGAGATCTGCAATGAAAGTTAGACATTATACTATACAGACACGAGGTCACTCTAAGTAACCACCATTAGAGAAAAACATATCTTATACAAATAATCTTAATTGGGGGGGGGGTGCACTTAAAACAGTATCTGGCACATAGGAGATGCTCAATAAACATTTTTATGGTATATTATTTTAGCACATGACCACCATATAAAAATGGCCACAGCCTTTGTCCAGGAAAATGTTGGATTACCCCATGCAGTTTCTGAGGATACATGGCTCCAGGTTTGGTTAGGGAGAGAAGACATAGCCTAGAAAAAAGGAACAAGCCATAGTTAAGGGGAGTTTGGAGAGGCTGAGATGTTTCCTGTAGGATGGACCTTTAATCTGAGTCCGGAAAGATGAGTCAGTGTTCACCAGATGAGCCCAGCAAGAGGACTTTTACAGGCTAAGGGAAGTATGAAAATAGTTGGGAAATAGTGGTGGGAGGAAAGGGTATGCGGCAGGGAAGTAGGACAAATGGTGAAACTGGAAGGTGAAGCAGTAGGTACTGGAGAGTCTTAAGTGCAACTTTAAGGAGTTTGGACTTTACCCAGTGGAGCTATGGAAGGGATTTCAGCAGAGAGTGTGTTTGCACATGTATTTGGTGTGCATGGATTATGTTAAGTCACCACAAACACTGAAGCTATCTAGAGATTAAGGGACAATTCAAGAAAGGACTAGAGATTAGATGAACTGGAGGTTGAATAATAGAATCATGATCAAAGGAAACCAATCATCTAGGGGCTAGGCAGATAGCAAAGATAAGGTGGAAGGAGTTAAGGAAGGGGAAATATTCCAGGAAAGGAGGGATCAGGTATGATAAGGGTGGAAACTATTGAATAGTATTTCCTCAGAGGAGATAGGGAGAGCTCCTCCTACAACAGCATTTATCAAAGTGCAGTGGGTCTCACTGATCCCCTGGGGTGGGGAGAGAGGGAGAACAAGCCTGATAAAAACACAGACTCCTGGACCCTGCCCCAGGCCTGAGGATCGGTGTGTACAACTCTATGTTCTCAAGCATGTTCAACCAGCGCACTACTCATTTGCATTTAGGGGTCAAAAGGGGAGGAGAGAGCACACATCACAAGCTTGCTAGGCAGGGGTGACCCTCAGATGAGAAGCAGCCTGGAATCCAGAGCCTGGACATTGTCAGACCCAGATAGAGGTGGGCTCCAGGTGTCTGCATCCTGATCAGTTCTCACTCCAGTAGAGCATACATTTGCGCTCTCCTGAAAACTCGAGCAGAAGAAAAAGAGCCGAGAGCAAACCTGGAGGAGGTGGATTCTGGCCATTGCACCATTCCTTACTGGCTGTGTGGCCAGAAGTAAATCACTTGACCTCTCTGAGCTTCAAGTTAATAACTTTAAAAAAGAAGGCGATGAGTCTGCCCAACTCCCTTATCTGGCTGTGGAGAGAGTGGCTGAGGGGAGGAGAGAACTGCAGCCTGAGTTGGTAGTGAGCCAGAGTGACAACTAGGGCAATAACTTTGAAAGACATTCATATGGTGGCTTTAAATGTCCAATAACAGGATGGGCAGGAGGAGATTTTGTGGGGTCTTGGAAAAGGTCTATATTCTTGATTTGGGTAGAGGTTAAATTAAAGGAGGAGTATTTTCACACATTTATTTGTCAAAATATGTATGTAAATTAGGTCTCAATTGAAGAAAACCAAAAAGATAAAAACATCTGAGTAGAGGGTGGTTGGTTCTGTTTTCATCTGTGGCACGCAGCAGGCAAGGCCATGGGGAAGACCACTCGGCGGAGCCAAGCCTGGGGCCCACGGAAGTCCTGGACCAGAGCCCTTCTCACATCCCTCAGCACCAGCCAGCCAAGCTCTTTCTAGTCACTCAGAACCTGCTGTCTCAATGCATTTTAGGATAGCTTTTGGCTTTTAGAGACAAACAGGATGACCTGAGCTGGGGGGGTGGGGGACTCAGAACCACAGCTAAAGTTATAATGAAAAATGCAGCCATAAGTGAACGAGTGGAAGAACCACTGCCCTGGAACCCTGAGGACTGTGGGAAGTCGTTCTTCATGAGCCATGTATCAGCTCACTGATGCGTGCCTGCAAAAAGGAGGCGTTTCTATACTGAGGTTGCTAAAGACACATGTGTAAGTGTCACAACCTAGTGCCCAGGGCTGTTTGTAGCACATTCATTTGCACTTGACAACGAATGTCATTTCCCCTTGGCTCCCTGAACAGTGCTATCTGCTGAGAGACGGGGTTCTGTCAGCGTTGCTGCCTGGCCGTGTCTCAGTGTCCTTAACTACCCACAGGAAAACACATCTTTTTCTCTAAGCCACATGACCTCCCCTGGTGGAACAGAACACAGTTACTTAAGAGTTTACAGAACAAACATTACAAACCACCTCCCTGAGGGGGTGTTAGAGTCGTCACTTGTCCAGGCAGGAAGCTTGGAATCTGAGCAGCCACCCTTCCTGCAAAGAACACTGGGGGCAGAGGCTCCAGGCCCACACTCATCTCCGGAGGCCAGAACCCTGCGAGGGAGAAAGAAAGAAGGGGGGGGTGGGGGTGGACCCAGCTCTCTCCAGAAGGCAGGAACACAGGAAAGCAATCCTGCTGCTGTTTCTCCCGGAGCCACCGTCGAGGGGAATTTCAAATTCTCCTTTATGGCTGCTATAGTTAAGACAGTAACACAGAAGTTTTAGAAAGGCAGCCGACATAAAAAGTCAAGGACCTTTAGCCGTTCAAATGTTCACAGTACCTTCCCCCATGCTCTGAAAAGGGAACTTTTCAAATAAAGCAACAAGAGAGACACTGGGTGTGAGTGAAGGGGTGTGTGTTGGGGGGGGCGCTGAATTAGACAGCAGCAGAAAGCCAGCTAGCGGCCCCATGAGAAGCATCACACTCAGCATCCCAACCTTTTTCTAGCAAACATGGCAACTGCTCTTCTTTAAATTAGCTCTGGAACACGGATGCCCCGGCTCAGGGACCTCTCAGAGTCTAGGGGCTCCTTCTGGGTCACGGGGGCTCCCATTTCTCTTTGACCAGTTAAAGGGCTCAGCTCTTCTTTTATTACAGGAGTGTGAATCCCATAAATGCTTCTCTCCCGCTGTTGAGTTGGTTGACCCCTGTAAAATGATCGCTTTCATCACAGAAATACCGGGAGCGGCAGTGGTATTCGGAAGGATGCCAAACCGAGGGGGACATATTGTTAGGAGACAGTTTACCGGCATAAAACTCTCCGGGCCTTACGGGAACAATGGACAAGTTCCTTGTTTCCCACCCCGAGGACGCCAGTAGCACAGGCTGCAGGCATGTCCCAGGGCAGTTCCTGTGACGTGCCCTGATTCCTCCACATACAGCCTCCACCGGTTCCAATTCTGGACTTCAACCAGTGCTTTCAGCTGCTTCACACAGATGCATGCACAGACACACTGAGCACACATGCAAACCCGCACACCTTCCACCCCTGACGGTTGTCTGGGGTTACACTAAGCATCACTGTCAGCAAATGGATTTTACAAAGATTAGCCCCCAAAAGACAGTAGGGTGCCTACTATGTGTTCTTACAAAATATCAGTTCACTTGATTGCGACAATTACAGATGGATGTGTTATTGCTGTCTCCTGCTTCCTTTTCCGACTTCGACTTGGTAACGCAGGCTGAGGGCTGGTTTTAAAGCCTGTGGGATGGGACTGATGCCAAAGTACCCAGTTTTCCCCTTCGTCCATGGAGTCGGCTGCCTGAAAAACATGTCCAAAATTATCCCTAATTCTAAGTCCATTCTACACAATCAACCCTCCAATATAATAATTCCAAAACCTTTCTTGATTCCTGCTTTTAATAAAGTACATTTACAGAGGATATGAATTCCAGATTTGATTTCAGACTCTGGGGATGTATATTCCTCTTCTGGAACTTGTATATCCGGTCCTGGAATTAAAAGGGGGGGGGGGCAAGGAAAGAAAGAAAGAGAAAGCGAGGGGGAGAGTCCATAACATAACAAGCATTCCTTGTATTTCTTCTCTCTTCTACACGCTGAACATGGAGGAGAGAGACAGGCTGATGCACAGCATCTGGTTAAAGTCAGGTAAGTAACACTCTGGGGAAAAGCCTGAAGTCACTTGCCAACCTTTTCTCTGTGGTTTTGCAGATGGATAAAAACTGTAGCCAATAAAGGTTTCAATTTCAGGTGATACTTGGGAGAAAAGAAACACTTGGTTCAATCACTGATCTATCAGCTTCTTGCCATTTCGAGCATTTGGCATAATGGAAGCACATAGAGTCACACCACCCCCCACTTCCCCCAGGTATAAATATGTCAAAGGAACATCTTCAGACACGGGATTCTCCTGAAAGAAGACTAGGAGATAGGATGGTGGCCTGAGCACAGGAAACTGAACTTGTGCTTTGGAGCGTAAACACCTTTCACCATTGTTCCCCGGCCCGTGTACCGGGGCATCTCCTGCAGGGTCACAGGAGGCTCGTGGCCCTGCGGGAGGAGCATGGGGCTGGAATAAGCAGGTCTAACTCCTGTGTGGTCTTACCACCCAGTGGAGCATGGATGAGATATTTCATCGCTGGACCTTGGTTTCTGCATAAGGAACATCTGCTTCACCTGGACCCATGGTCCATGTGAGCCTTTTCCTGCACAGAAATGAGAAGGTCAGGCTAGGGAGCAGGGTCTCCAAAGCACTCGCCCTACTCTCAGAGCAGAGTACAAAGGACTTGTAGAAATGCTCTGATTTTTTTCAATGATCTTTTTCCTACTGGGATGTGGGAAACTGAATTTACTTCAACTCTCTTATCTCAGTCCAATCCCATGCTCTGGAACAGTATTCTTTGCTCTTTGGATAACTCAGTCTTTCTTTCTTTTCTTTTCTTTTTTTTTTTTTTGGAGAAATGCCTAGAGTTTCAGATGTCTCTCTCCTTCCCTCTCTCACCAAGATGGTGTCTGGGTACATGATGGGGGCTTACTATATTCTCATGGGTAGAGGGAAGAGACCTGAGTCCATATGTTGTTGTCTGGATCCTCACTGTGTCTGCTGCCAGGTGGCTGGTCTGGGCTGCTCCCTGGACTGGTGGCCAGTGATGTGCAGCTTGTCCCATTCCTTGGCATCCAGCGGTGTTTGCTGCTGAAGACTATGGGTTGGGTAGCTTGTGGTTCATTTTCTCTCTTGGCTGAGTCAGAGCCCAGCTTCCTTTTTTCCTAATTTAGCCCCTCTTGGAACTCCGTTGGTGCTCTGGGCCTGTGGATCTGGTTGTGAGGTCAGGGCCCAGGCTTCATTTTGCAGTGCCATCTTGCCCACCATGGTCATCCCTCTCTGGAATATCCTCTAGCCAGACCCGAACTGGCATCTGTGCCCCACCCCCTCCAGGACATGCAGGATATTTATGTTCTTTCCCCACCACACAGGAACTGAGGGTAGCTTGGAAAAGCTAGAGCGCTTCTATGCCCAACCACGCTGTGCTGCTGAGTTTACTCTGATGTGGCCACTCCCAGATCAGTGTGGGGAGTCTGTTTCCATGCAGTCTTAAATGGAGGAAAGCCTTGTGTTGCTTTTAACTTATGTATCAAACCTCCCTCTCTGGGCAGCCCAGAGACAGAAAATCAAGATCAATGAGTGTCTCCAGCATCTGTCTCCCTTCTTCTCATGGTCCTTTAGGACCAGAAATGAACAGGCTTCCAGCCTCTACAATTCATTATTCTTGTCTAACCCTAACGCACTTAGCCTCAAGGCCTAGTCATCATAGATAGAACCAGTGCTTGCATTGCATGGAAATAGTTCTATGATTTGAGTCCTACCTACAGGCTTGGTTTTTATTATGCTAAATGGGAGCTAAAGAAATTCAGAAAATCCTATATCTCTCTTAACAAAGCCTAGTTTTGCAACTGTTATTCCTACAATATCCCATTTTTGTTTGTGAAATCCTAAACATTAACTTTTTTTTTCTTTCATGTTGTGTAAATCTAAAAGGTAGACATGTCTCTGACAAAATGAGAAGGTAAAGGTCAATGAACTACAAAAGGGAAGAATATATTAATAGTATGCAAAAAATGTTATCCTTATTTCAACCAGATAACCTTTCAAACTCATTCCAACTCAAAAGGATTTAATTCCTAAGATGGTACTTGAGAGTGTAGTTTGGAAAGGATGACAAAGTTTCCAAATGTGTACATATATACTAACTTTATTATTATCAATATTCTGGTTCCAAAGCACTAGTCTCAGAAGTCTGCCTGGGCAACTTTAATGTTGATGAATGGCCTTTTAATATGCTGATTCTGAACAATGCTTAGCAGCGTCCAACAACTTCTCTTCTGGTAAAAACTGTTTCATGAATTATTTTAAACATCTGCCTTGAGCTACTTTCCACTCTCTAATGTATTACTTTGAAGATTATAAATCAGATTCTACTTGCTGTGGTCTTTCACTTGGATAATTCACTTTATCTTCACCCTCACCCCTCCGTTATCATGTCTTTTTAGAGAACAGCTACTGTGACCTGGCAAAGGACTCAGCGAAGATGGATTCCTCAGCTGCTGAAAAAGGTAGGCAAACAGACAACTCTACTACAGAATGTGAATTGGCCATCTTGTAATTTCCTGACCTTCAGATGAGTTTGATGTTGGTATCAAATATTGGAGAACCCTCCTAGAGCAAGACCACTGAGTTGTTCATTAGAGCTACTAAATCAACCTGCGCTAGTTTGCATTCTGGGCTGATGCAAATTACCCCCACCAAGTGAAATCAGTCAACCAAACAGGCACCATCTCTGAGTTCAGTCTTCTCTTATTACCAGTGAGGATCATGAAAAATATCTGAGAAGGTCCTTGACCTGGGAAACTCACAGTCTAGTGGATGACATAAAATTAATAGTGAGACAATTGGAAGACAAGATTAAACACTAAATTCTGTGGCACCTCCTGTAGGAACAATAGGAATCCAAGAAGGAAAACTAGTCTGAGAAGATTTCACAGAAGACTGGAAGGATGTCTAGACTGAGATAAGCATGAGAGAAGAGAAATAACGTAAGAGGGAAAATAACAAGGGAGGTACAGAGAGATGTGGAGATGAGCATCTGTTGGGCACTGTGAAGAGACTTACTTAACAAGTGGAGAAGGGAGAAAGAACAAGTTGGTAGAAAAAGTAAGACAGACATGAAGGATCCAAAAAATAGGGCTTGTGATAGACAAGAAGGTGCCATTTGTAGGTTCAAGCATAAAATGTGATGAGGACAGCTGTGCTTTAAGGATGACTGAGGACAAGAGTAACTGTACTATGGAAGTACCTAAAGCTAGAGAGGATATTGTCTAGTTATTCGAAGTGGGCTGTGGTAGCAGCAGTAGGAGAGAAGAGGGAAAAGCAGATTCTAGAGATGCACACAACAAAGGAACAGGAATTCCTGATAATTGACTGAATATGGGAAATGAGGGAGAAGAGACTTAATAGTTTTTAGTATCAGAAATAGGAGTAATAATAATGCCATTGTGAAGAAAAGGCTAGTTGGTAGGAAGGGAGAGCTACCCTGAGTGGAAGAGTAGCAGGGGAAGAACCCCATCTAAAAACAGAGTGGTTGGTTTCTATTGGTTATTTGGTTTATTTCTACTAGTTATTGGTTATTTCTATTGGTTCTAGCTTAGCCTTCCAGCTGGAACAATCAACTTGGACCCTGAAGATGCCAAACATCTTGGCAATGTGGATAGTTTTGTCTACTAGCAACTGGTTTTTCAATTGTAAATGAAAGAAGCCACAAGCCTGCCTATGTCACCAGATGGATGCGAGGATGGGAGGCTGCATAGCACTGCAGGTAAGGCTCTAGAGTCATGCTGACTGTTTTCAAGTCCCCGCTCCACTACTTACTAGCTGTGTGGTTGGGATAAATTAGATACCTCTCTGCGCTCAGTTTCCTCACCTGTAGCAATGGGGATAATAATACCAACTCAGAAGTGAGAAGGTTTGTGTTGAACCTCTGACACTCAATACAATGACTCAATTTAGTAATGAAAATAAATGTTAGCTATTTTTTACTTCCATCCAATAAAACAATCAGTACTAAAACAATTTATAAATTTCAAAGCTTTCAAGTCAGAAAAAGGTTTTTCTGTAGAGACTGGGGGGTGGGTTGGAAAAAGTATTGGACTTAAAGTCTTTGCTCTCATCCTACATCCAACACCGATTAGCTCTGCTTCTCAAGGCAAGGCTCCTGGTCTCCAAGAAGTCTCAGTTTTCTTATTCACTAAATGTCAATAATAATGCATGCCCTACCTATCATGGGACTCTGACATAAAAGAGATGATGAATGTGAAACTATTTTGTAAACTATAGGTGTTTTACAAAGGAAAGGTATTAATTAGTAGTTATCATCATTAGGATATTAAAGAGCCATACTGCATTTACGTGTGATGGTCAGAATGAAAACTCCGTTCATTCTATCAAAATCTCATTTGCACAGGTGCCATGATTTAATTGCCTCAGAGGATATTCAGTAGCCCTATGAAGAGAAGTCCTGGGTGACTTTATTTTGGCCTGGGCTTTGGACATGAGTGGCAGTAATTCTAAATAGAGTCACTATTGAGCTTTACATAGTCGCTGTTCATTTTGGTAGGTCAACCTCAGGGTGGGTTAGGCTTTGGTGGGGTAGAGTTGCTGGGTCAATGGTTAAAATGTGAATCTCCAGATCTAGTAAAACCTTTTAGGAAAAGCACCAGCCCTCCTCGTTTCTAATGAATGTCCACCTTGGACTGCATCTCCTCAAAGGTGCCTGCCCCGGCCTTCCCTGGTCCAGCAATGCTGAGTCGTTAGTATGGATGGTTCGTATCAAAACAAAGCTTTGAAAGGCAGGACAGGAACAAATTCTGACTTGACCTCAGACTGCTTGTAAAGCCCAGGGCTCCTGTTCCCACTCTGCATGCCAGTCTCAGCTCCCTGGACTGGCAAGATTGGAGCAGAGTTCACCAGGCCCTTCAATCAGCTGTGCTGCTTTAGGCAGCAAGGATGAGCCATCCATTATGTGAGCTCATTAAGAATCTGTTCTTTAGTCTCTTTGTGTTCCTTTACAGAAGTTAGTTCTACAATAGGCTTGGACCTGAACAAAGCAAGGATTTAAATCAGCATCACCTTCATATGGCATATTAAAAGGACATCCCTTGCATCCCAACCCCCTCTCTCCTTTCCTTCTATTATTTATCTGTGTGATTTTAATTTTTTGGAGATTACATTCATTTATTTATAAGCTCAATTTAGGTATTGGGAATTGGAATTGTTGCCTGCCCAAAGGGCAAAAGCCTCCTAACTTTCCCTGCGAATGTCCATTTGCTATAGCCATTGTGCTATACCTTCAATCATAGGACCAATCTGAAGTCAGAAATATGTTTCCCACCCGCAAGTTGCCATTTACAGCTCCATAAGCCAAGACACCTGTCGTTGGCCCCTCTTCTCCCCGCCTATGGCAATCATAGTAGATGGAACCGGCCCCAGTTCTGGCTCAGACCTTGAGGCTCTGAGCAAGGGGCTTTGCCTGCCACCTCGGCTCCCAGGAATCCTTACATCATCAGCCTTTGGGAATAAAGCACTGTTAGAGCACCTGAAAAATGAAATGTAACCGTGGCACATTTCAGAAGGTGGGGCTTTTTCTTTCACTTCACAGAGTATCAAGGTGTGATTTGGAAATCATAATTAAAGTACACTTGCAGTGCTGTTGATATGGATTTAAAAGATAGGGAACCACTAGATAGGTTCTTGCTACTATTTTTCAAATGACAGTATTCACTGTCTCCAAATATTTGACTTTATCAGAGAAGGGGGGTAGGTTATAAATCTGCTTTTTATTCTAAACACCCAGGCATTTTCTTTTCAAGTGCATTGCATTAAAAGTAAAACTATATTTGCATTTGGAATTTATCTCTATTTAAATAGATTCACCACATTAACATCTGATGTAATTATTTTACAGCAGCGTACCTGGGAACCACGCTGTGGTTCTCAGTCTTCCAGCCAGCCTGCCCAGTAGAGTGGCTACAGACAAGAGGAAGCAAAGTGACTTAAGTAATTTGTAACAAGATCCCATTTCTTTTGCAGCAGGAGGTTTTCAGTAAGAGAAGCTGCACCTTTTTGACTTTGAAAATAATTACCTTGTAAAAATTAAAAACCCTGAGAGACTTTAGCGTAAAAGTTCTGCTAAGTAGCAAAGTAAGGAAGCCCCATTTGGTCCTAGTGAATGCTTTCATGTCAATGTTCTCAGACTGTGGGCTCTGCATTCCCGCCCAATTCATAGAAGTCGATTTCTGCAAAGACAATTTTACAAAGAAGTATAAAGTCTTCAGCAATTTCAGCCCAGAGAGTCATGAGCAAATTAACCCATCACCCTTTCTTCTTTCTTCCAGTCTAACAAGATGGAAGCTTGGGGCCAGGATGAATTTGGTCATATGCACAGTTCTGCTGCTATCCACTGAATACTGCACATTTCAGGCTGGTTGAGCAGAAGATAGACGGTAATACTGACTTTGAGTCACTATGAACCATGTCATCAGTGATGACAAGAGGAAGAGCTTCTCCTCATTCCCTTTCCAGATTCTTCTCTGTTCAGTTTACTGAAACGTTCATGAGGGTGGCGGGTCATTTCAGGTTTAGAAATGGCAAGTGCGGCGCTGACTCCCCTCACACCGGGGTTGCTAGTATCTCACTGATGGTGCACTTCAAAGAGCCTCAGATGAGGGCTGTGCGAGGACGTCTCAATTCCCCTTTGGATAATTGGCACTCAGGGTCTATGCAAAGAAAACTAAACAGACCAGTTAATACATTCTCATCGTGGTCTAACATCCTGTGTGTCTAAAGGGGCCTCTATCAAGCATCATTCACTTTCTGGGGCCCTTCGACACGCTACCAACTTCCAGGCTCTGAAGCATCGAGGCCAGGGTAGACAGTCTACTGGAATGCTCTCTCTCCTGGCCGGTTGGGCTGCTCTACTTGGCTGACCTGGTTCTGGAGTGTGGTGTGTCTGGGATGAACACATTCAGAGAAGGTATCCCCTGGAAGTTCTGCTCGGCCTCCAGCCATCCCAGGTAGACTGCAGTATGCCTGGCCCCTTGAACTTGGTAATTTGGACTGCTGCTCCTCCCAGAAAGCATTCCTTTTGTCCTCTGTCTTTCACCGTAGACAGCCTTGGCCTAACCCCAGTGACAGGTCCTACAGGTGACCTGCAGACCAGTCTCTGTATTACTAGTATTTTTGAGATTAATTTTATTAGTTAGAATTAGTTAAGTTAGATTATACTCTGATAACAAATTGACTCCTGGATCCCAAAGTTGAACACAAAAAAGATTTACTTCTTGCATATGTCACATGTTCATTCATTGCAAGTCAAGGGCAGGGATGTGCATGTTGGAGAAATTCTGCTCCATCAGTCACTCAAGGATCCAGGTGGATGGGGCTCTCTTATTTGTAGCTGCGACATCTAGAACACAGGACTCCTTTGGAACCCTCAGCAGGGAAGAGACTAAATGTCTTATCTGCTCATCAATGTTTTAACACTTCAGCTGAGGGGTGATGGGCGTCACTTCAGCTCCCACCCCATTGACCTAAACCAGTGACATGGCCCCATCCAACCACAGAGGGCTGGGCAGTCTAGACTGCTATGTGCCTGGGAAGACAGGAGAACCTGAGACCGATGGGCACTAATAATATTTACCACAATGCTTATGCTTTTGTTTTAGGCATGGATTATTCATTTACTTAACATAATGAATTACACTAGGCACCCCAGGGAAGATCCCCCCGAGCAGTGAGATATTTGGTGCATCTCAGTAAGTTTCTTTCTGTAGCCTCAAGCAGGAACTTGCAGGATTAGGAGGGGTTTTTTCTTCTTTTTTTTTCTCCTACTGAAGAGGTCAAACACCAGAAATGTGTCGAGCACTGACCTGGCTGGTTTGGCTCAGAGCGTCGACCTGCGGACTGAAGGGTTGCAGGTTCAATTCCTGGTCAAGGGCACCTACCTCTGTTGTGGGTTCGATCCCCAGCCCCGGTTGGGGCTCGAGCAGGAGGCAACGCGTCGATGATCTATGTGTCCTTCTCATGTCTATCTCTCTCCCTCTCTCTCCCCCCTCCCTTCCACTCTCTCAGAAAGATCAATAGAAAAATATGCTTGGGTAAGGATAATAAAGTAAAATGTGTTGAACACTGCTGTAGACAGCCAAGCTGCAGGCACTAACTTGGGCACCCTGGCTAGTGGGTCCGTGCCACACTGAAGCAGCCTCTGCCTAATTAACCCCGTGGCGGGTTGTGGTCCCGTCTGCCCGCAGGCAGGCAGATTCAGCCTTAGTCTGCGCTCAGAATTCATCTTGAGCATGGCAGGCTGCGCCAGCTCTGAGATGCCAGAGTTGAACTTACTGGAACAGAAACCACATCAAAAGCCAGTCACATGACAGAGCCAAGGAGCTCAAACCCCACATCAGAACGCTTTGGCTGGTGTCGAGTCCTGAAAGTAATGTGTATTCTTCCCTGGGAATTAAGAACATGTGGGCCCAGGCCTAAGTATAGCCTATCCTTCCAGTGTTCTGAATTAGGAATTGAGACACTTGGGCTGTAGTGGCCAGAACTGACCTAGCTACTACCTTCTGGAGAACTTAGATGACCTGCACACAGTAGGTACTCAAAAAAGGGTTTTCTTTGTGATGATAAC